CATTAGCACCTCTAGTAATATATTTACTGAGAAAAATGGTGACGTGTTCAATACTTATTTTACCCGCTGTATGTGTAAGTTAAGAGGCAGACTCCAGTTTTTATCATAACCTTTATTCTTCCAAGGCACAGCAGATGTGTTGGCAGGGCTAGACGCTATCAGAATACATTCAGGGTGCGAATAAACAAAGTACATCCAGCTCTACACCCTGCTGAGGGGCCTGCCACGGCTACATGCTCAGCAGGCCCAACAAATAAAAACAAAAACACAGGGAACATCCCGTGCTTCAGAGCTTTGTCCCCAAACTTTACAGAGGCAGCTCATGAATACTGACTACACACTCACAGAGCCTCAGTGTAAGAGTTTACTTTCCTGTGACAAAAAGGATATTTTTGTAAAGTAATTTAAAAAAATGCATTCACTAGTCTGCTTGTAAGTAGGTGACATCAATTGTTTTATCTGAACACCTTTATTGTTTTATTTTGTTCAAACCTGAAAAAGTATGTTATTGTCAAACCACCGGGGTCATTAAAAATGTGTTKAGTTGGAGCCTTTAAACCGAGGCTGCTCATGGAAAAAAAAATCTAATATTCAGGTGTTGAAGGGCTGCTAACATGTCAGAGACATCACAAACAGTTCAACTGTTCCAGATAAAAAAACAGAAAACATTCACACTTTTTGGCTAGAAAAAAAACCTCAAAACAAACAGGATTAAAAGATCTCAAAGAAAGTCTGCATTGTTGCTTGTTATAACCTGAATTTTGAGTGTTTTAAAGAATTTGAGCTTTACAGTGAAGTAAAAATAAATCCTTTGGCATCATTCACTGTTAACATTTAATAAAACAAAAGTATAGAGTTCAAAACGCACATTAAAAAATATGTCAGCTAAACTTCACTCATACCAACACTGCCATTCTTTTGCGTATTTTTTTCTGTAATTAAAGAAAAGCTTAGCAATTTTTTAATCCAGAAATTTAACTTACTCAAGTATGAACATCAGTATTAGTGATGACGCAGCTGCTTTAAATTCATAGATCTTCAGCTGTTTTATTACTAAAAGTAAACAAAGAGAGGAGAGCACTTCAGCTCACACAAAAATCTACACTCGAGTGTCGAACAAAGGCGAAAATTTGTCAAAAAACMTTTTCGTTTTTGTATATACAACATAGAATAAAAACTACAGCTGAAAAAAACAATTCAAGGTAAACATCTAGGAGGTAAAATATCTCAAAGTCAGACTTTACCTTTTAGAAAATAGAAAAAGAAATCATGCAAAAAATATATACCTAGGATTTAGATAAAGTTTGTGACACAACATACCAAAAATATATATTAAAACTCATCTCCAATAAGCTCGTGGGATTTCACAATTGCACGTGAAAGGAGAGCAAAGCGCCTAGAAATCAAACCTGCGTTGTGCTGAATCGGATGTGTTTAAGACCCAAACTACGACGGAAAATGGCTCAAACTCCTGCAGTGTCCTCRTGATGTGCTCGATCTGTAATGAGGATGCACGCTGCGACTTCCCACTCGAGGTTTGTGTAACCGGTACCAGGTTCAGGTTTATGTTCATTGGTACCAGGGGGTCTTCCGCACCCATCGRAGGGTGAATCCTGCATCTGTACGAATCTTGATGGAAGCTGCCTCTGCTTCTCTGACCGTCTCTTTTACCGACTGCATCAGATTCTGGGCGTTGTGGACCAACATCTCTGTGGCCTGCTCGGAGAAATCAGATTAAAAAGAAAAAAAGTCAACAGAAGTTCAAGAGAGAGGGATTTTTTTAAGTTTCTTTTATTTTGAAGGTCTGCGTGAAAAGATGGATGTAATCAAAATGTAAAAGCGATGGAGTGAAGGGCGGCTGCACCTTTTGTTTCAGGTGTGCCAAACAAATAAGATGTTATGCAAATGTGGTTATGCCATTAAGTAAATACTGTAAAACCTGGACAACAATTGAAGCAGTTTAGTCAGATTTTGTTGTTGTCTTTTTTTGTGGGAGGATTTTTATTTTTTCATGTAAACATTATAGACTTTTTACTTAAGGGAAAACACAAAAATCAAAGTATTACCTCTTGAAAACACACTGAGCAACATGTATTTGATAACAAGGAGGAGAAAAAGTCCTTTAATAAATATTATTCTACATAATAGAGAAATCTAATGTGTGGGCAGTTATTTGCTATTGCATTTTACATTAGCTAAGCTTATTAAAATTGTTATTTCATACCGTGTTGTCACAAAATCTAAACGTTTGTGCTGTAATTAAGAGTATAAGAAAACACTGATACACTGAAATATCACTATTTCATTTCCTGATACTGTATCGATTCTCAAAACCCTATAGATTTTTAAATTAAGGCTTAAAAATGTAAACTTTCCTGCCAGCGGTTCATTTTTGTGTTGTATTTTAACCTCCGACAAGCAGCTGCAAGCCAGGCATTTGACTTTTAAGAAGAAATGTGAATATACAAATGCAATTATTGCTGTTAAGTGTTCTTTTGATGCATAGAAATAGAGTTTAATCAGATTTTACGCATGTTCTGATATGCTCTTTATACTGAGTTTTTAAAAAAAACAGTCATTTTGGAAAAAAAATGGCAATATATCAACTTGCTTAAAAGTATCTCATGTATATCATGACCCCTTTGTGGTGATATGCATCATATCACCAAATTCTTACCAACTGTAGTACTTAATGTACAGCAAATATTTATTTTTAGTATTTTTTATGAACTATAGGACAATTATAGTTCATAAAACATCTCATGAAGCTCCCTTTTTAGTATATTCTCAGTGCTATGGATTAGTTGTATTCAAAAAGCGATCTAGACTTTGGTCATAAATTGTTTATTTCATCTGTTTTGTCAAACCTTATGTTGTGGAAAAATCTATTTAAAGCAGATGCAGATGTTTGGTCTCATGTGAAGAAAGAAATCAAAATGTCTTCAGCTACAGAAAAGTCTAGTTGGTTTTATTTTTAAAAATGTTTTGGATGTCATGAGGAATAGATAAATTGCAGATGTGTTTGTGTTTACCTGCTCTGACTCCTCTTCACTAATGTTTGTTCGTCCCAACATGGTGGCTTTGACTGTAGAAAGGATCTTAAGCTGAGTGCTGATAGTAGGGATCCGTTCACAGACCTGCAGGAAATGTTCAAATATATGTGTGTGTATATATATATATATATATATATATATTATAAGCAATGTTAGAAATGAAGTCCCTTTGATGTATTTTACGTCATTAGTTTGAGTTTGAAACAGTAAATTCTCATCGACCTGCAGTAGGTTGGTCCGGATGCGTCTGTCGGTGCACTGCTTGGCCACTTCTTTAGCCAACCTCGTCACCTCATCCGACGCCTTGGCGATGTCCTTCGCGCACTGAATCAGCGCGCGTTTGTTTCCGCTCCCGCCGCGCACGAGACGAGACATTTCAGCCATCAGCAGGGCCATTCGCTTGGCTGCGGCGATGATGTCATTACCCTGTGCAGATGGAGCGACAGATGTCAAGCAGAAGGAGCTGCGGTCTGGTGAACAGGACTTTAAATAAGAAAATCAGAATTGAAGTAATGTGCATAATTCATGTTTCTACAGCCAAATGTATTAAAAACGATCTAATGCTCTGAGGTGATAAATTTGACTTGCAGAAATGAAGCAAGCATTAAATGCTGAAGCTGCATGCAGTGTTGGCAAGTGCTCACATGTTCCTCATGGTTCGCTTATGACMATCCTAAACACCGGAATCAACCTGACGTCAGTTGCATGAGGTGATGTCACAGCATTGAGGCGATTAGTGCACTCTGTTAGCAGGCAGTCTGATGTTAAAACTACATCACCCAGGTGTCTAGAAAACTGTCATCCTTGGCTTCACAGGTTGAGCTGAGAAACGGGGACTGACATCAGAGAGAGCAGGAGGACAGAACACCTGGCTCCACCTTTTTGACCCATTTTCCTCTAAAATGAAGCGACTTATGAAGCCAGCTAGTGTCAGTTTGTGGTGCAGCAAGCAAACTTGCCATTCTCACGGTCCTTGACCCTTAGATCAGCTTTAGCATCAGTAATATCGGTGTGTCAGGCCCCTCTGCTGCGACAGTGAAACAGCTGCTGCTGTGTTTTTTTTTTTTTGGTTGTGAAACAGCGGGCGGTGGTGCGTGCATGCGCCGTGCGTGAGTTTGTGTCGAGTCAAACGGCACGGTTAGATTCTCCCAGCTGTGCGAAGCACTGGGAACTTGAACAAACAAAACAAACCAAACTGTGAGCCCCCGTGTGTGTACGTTCATGTTCATGTCGGTGTGCAGACCTTGCTGGACCACTTGCGGGCCTCCTGGTGGAGAGACTGGGCAGCTGCCAGAATGGGCTGATTAACTGGCTGGTTGGAGGGCATCATCAGCAGCTCTGGCTCATAGTCATCCTCACCATCAGTAAACTCATCTTCATCATCTACCTCCCTCTCCTCAACTGCCTCCTCATCCTCAGGCTGGGCCAGCCAGGGTCAGGGGTAAGCCGGGGATAGGGGGGGTTGTTGGAGGAGTAGGAAAGAAAAGGAGGGAGGGAGGAGAAAGCCAGGAATGGCAGGTGGAAAGGAAGCATTTAGTTTACTATGAGAAGCACCAAATGGTAGAACAGAAGAAAAAAAAAGATTTAAAGGGATCCATGATTAGTTGTAACATTAGACTTTATTTAATAAACATATATTTTAAGTGTAAAATAAAGACTGTAAGAATACTGTAGGCTATTTAGTTTTTATAATTTTTAAACTAAAAGTTTAAAAATATATTACATGGACAGGGCCATTTTATTTACACGCAAAGCATTCTGGGTAAATGATGATGTGGATAGGTCCTCGGTCCGAAGCTGCTTGCGAGCTATATCCACCCTGAAGGTTAATCTTGGACAATATCTGACGATCGGCTCTTAAATGAAACCAGAGAGCGTTGACAGAGAGGAGAAGGTAGAAATGACTCAGCCTGTAACTGAAAATATGGATGGAGGACCTCAGTTGTTTGTCACGCTAGCGCCGAGCTAATACATATAAGGCAATATAGCGTCGGCGCTYGCGCAAAGGCTAAGCGGTTCTGTTGTCCTCCATCCACATTTTCATTTACAGGCTCAGTCATTTCTACCTTCTTCTCTCTGTCAACGAACGCTCTCTGGTTTCATTTAAAAGAGCCAATTGTCAAATATCTTCCCAGATTAACCTTCAAGGTGGATATAGCTCCCTCACACCGAGGACCTATCCACGTCATCATTTACCCAGAATGCTTTGTCCATCCATCCATCCATCCATTTTCTTCCGCCTATCCGGGGTCGGGTCGCGGGGGCAGCAGCTTCAGAAGGGAGGCCCAGACCTCCCTCTCCCCAGCCACTTCTTCCAGCTCCTCCGGGGGAACTCCAAGGCGTTCCCAGGCCAGCCGAGAGACATAGTCCCTCCAGCGTGTCCTGGGTCTTCCTCGGGGCCTCCTCCCGGTGGGACGTGCCCGGAATACCTCACCAGGGAGGCGTCCAGGAGGATCCTTACCAGATGCCCGAGCCACCTCAACTGGCTCCTCTCGACGTGGAGGAGCAGCGGCTCTACTCTGAGTCCCTCCCGGATGACCGAGCTTCTCACCCTATCTCTAAGGGAGAGCCCAGCCACCCTGCGGAGGAAACCCATTTCGGCCGCTTGTATCCGGGACCTCGTTCTTTCGGTCATGACCCAAAGCTCATGACCATAGATGAGGGTAGGAACGTAGATCGACCGGTAAATCGAGAGCTTCGCTTTCTGACTCAGCTCTCTCTTCACCACGACGGACCGGTACAGCGCCCGCTTTACAGCAGACGCTGCGCCAATCCGCCTGTCGATCTCCCGTTCCGTTCTTCCCCCATTCGTGAACAAGATCCCCAGATACTTAAACTCCTCCACTTGAGAAAGGGCGACCCCCCTGACCCGGAGAAGGCACTCTGCCCTTTTCCGGCTCAAGACCATGGCCTCGGATTTGGAGGCACTGAGCCTCATCCCGGCCGCTTCGCACTCGGCCGCGAACCGCTCCAGCGAGAGCTGCAGATCTCGCTCCGATGAAGCCAACAGGACCACATCATCCGCAAAAAGCAGAGATGCGATCCTAAGGCCACCAAAACGGATCCCCTCAACACCTCGGCTGCGCCTAGAAATTCTGTCCATGAAAGTAATGAACAGAATCGGTGACAAAGGGCAGCCTTGGCGGAGTCCAACCCTCACCGGAAACGAGCCCGACTTACTGCCGGCAATGCGAACCAGACTCTGACACCGGTCGTACAAGGACCTGACAGCCCGTATCAAGTGGCCCGGTACCCCATACTCCCGGAGAACCCCCCACAAGGCCCCCCTTGGGACACGGTCGAACGCCTTCTCCAAGTCCACAAAACACATGTAGACAGGTTGGGCGAACTCCCATGCACCCTCCAGGACCCTGCTGAGGGTGTAGAGCTGGTCCAGTGTTCCACGACCAGGACGAAAACCACACTGCTCTTCCTGAATCCGAGGTTCGACTATCCGACGGACCCTCCTCTCCAGGACCCCTGAATAGACCTTACCAGGGAGGCTTAAGAGTGTGACCCCAGAGTGCTTTGTGTGTAAATAAAATGGCTCCGTCCTGTTAAAATATATATTTTTAAAAATTTACAAAACTAAACAGCCTACAGTATTTTTACAGTCTTTATTTTACAGTTAAAATATATGTTTATCAAATAAAGTCTAATGTTACAACTAATCAGGGATCCCTGGATGGAGGAGAAGCATGTTCAAGCTTTGGAGGGGGAGAAAATTGAAGGGGGATGCAAGGGGACAAAAACGCTTTGACTGGAGGGGAAAAGATGAAAGAGGAGTTGGTTTGGGAAGGCAGTAGCTGCATGACGTGCCTGAGGTGATGGCTCACACCAAAATAAGGTTGAACTGTAACCAAAAGCACTGGCTGGTGTTTCTGTGGAGTGTAACAGCGGGACACTGGATCGTATATTTTGTGTCTGTTTCGAAAACTATATGATCATTAGATTTAAAAAAAGACTATCAAAAGAAGGTATTATTTCTGAATAATCTTTCACTAGTTAATCCTGGGAACACAAGGTCCTCATGTAACGGTTTATGTGTGTGTGAGAACCATAAACATTACATGACTCAAATTCAAACAGATGACAGTTTCCAGTTTTCCTCTGAACGTGGAATCGAGGCCCAGATATCCACATTTCAGGATCAAAATAACAATCAAAAATTCTTAAAATAAAAGATAAAGCAATGTTCTGTAAATGTACAGTATCTGAAGCYTTTAAAAAAAGTATTACACAGACAACGAAGTACTTCAGTGTTTGTTTTTGCATGGACTGACCTTGCTGGACCACTTGCGAGCCTCGTCGTGCAGCTGCCTAGCCGCCACCATCATGGGCTCACTGAGCACCTCGCCGGCCTTCTGCTCCGGGAACTCCTCGTCTTTCTCCTCGGGGGGCGGGGGCCGAGGCGGAGGCACCTCGCCCTCCGGCAAGGGGGGTTTCGGTGGCGCTTGCTCGTCGCTGACCTGGAAAACAAACGTAGATAAACAGAGGTTGCCCGTTGAAATCTGGTGCAGCAAACAAAGAGGGTTTGAGAGCAACCCAACGTTCTTAGTTCATTATGTAAAAGGGTTTATTAGAATCAAACTTCAGAGCAGTTTCAGTTGTTAGATAATTAAAGATGCAAGCGATTAAATAGGCTTACGTGGAGCTGGTCCAGGTCAGGAGGAGGAGGAGGGAAGTCTGGTTCCTGAGGCTGGAAGGCTTCTCTAACTTTCCCAACTGCAGCCAGGATCCTCAGACACGAGTCCAAGTATGCTTTCTGCAGAGCTGTGGGCATTGGATAWAACATGAAAAGTGGGACACAACAATAAACAAAATCGAATCGCTGTTATTCACGCAACATCCTGAAYTCTGTCAGAGTTGTAAAGTAACGAAGTACAAATCATTTGTTACTGTACTTAAGTAGAATTTTTGGGTATCTGTAATTGAGTAATTATTTTTCAGCCTACTTTTTACTTCTATTTCTTACATTTTCACACAATTATCTGTACTTTCTACTCCTAACATTTTTTAAAAAGGCAAGAAGTAGAAAGTCATTACTTTTATTTCATTCCAGCTTGTTTTTATAAAAATGAATACTATCCATATAAATTGTGCCTCCTATATAGAGTGAATTTAACTGTGGTTGAATGAGAAGTGAACTGGCCCACCAAGCCATTTAATTTGGCCCACCAGCAGTTGCCATGTTTACTAGGTTGTAATCTGTCGTCCTATGTAGAAACACAGTATTTTCACTTGAAGTCATTCCATTCATTGGCCCAATGACTATACAAGGGGCTGTATTGCAGTTAGTCAAAAGCGTGGGCCGCCACACTGGCTACTAGCTTAATCATTAAAAAGAAAAGTACTGTATTTTTAAAAGTAGAGGAGGTATTTGTATTTCATGAATTATACTGGCCGCAGACCTCGGATAGATTTTCATTTTGGGGAAAAAGTTTGGGCAGCCTTGATATACTGTATGTATATAAACTGAAACAG